ATTTGTCTTGTTTCGAGCGTAAATAAAGCGAGGAGTGCAGATGAGACAAATTAATTAAATTAAATTAATTTTCGGGAAAATGAAGTTCTCTCCCTCTCTTTGATTTTATTCCATTTTGGCTGCTTTATTTTATTTTATGTCGTTCGACTTTTATTCTATTTTATTAACAGTATCGGATCGTTGACCCGTGTTCATTTTTCCGGAGATGCTTTTCACTTTAGTCAGCCGAGAATCCGCAATCGAACAGGATGACTCACGGATCGATTACTCGCGGGAATACCCCAGAAGGCCGAAGGAACAGTTTGTTTTATATTTATCCTTCCGACCAAGATTTATGAGACTGCACCTTGCGGGGAAACCTGCGCTGGTACTTACGACCTATTAAAATGTATTATTTCCCCGTCCGGTGGCCGATGCTGAAACCTGTCGCGTGTCACACGCGCGAAATTAAAATAGAGTCGCGGAAGATTATCATTTTAAATTTTTATTGCGCGTTAAATTCCGTGAAACAGGAAAGTCGCAACCTTGCGGTAACGCGAGACGGCTCATTGCGTCCTCTATAATAATTTCATGAGCTATTTATTCCATTTTACATGTTCCTCATATCTTATCGGGACTATCTCTCAGATAAATCAAATCTTAAATTGCCGACTAATGACGAATAAATCAAATCAAATATCAAAGAGGGACTTTCATCTTCGTTATTCCATCGATTTCCTCATTCGGCTTCGCTGTTTTATTCAGACACCAGTATCGGCTGCAATCATACCTGTGATTCATCATATCGGATTTCGATTAGATTGTTTTCTGACTAAATTTCTTCTAAATGAGCCTCCAACATCGGAAAATCCTATTGATACTTATGATGGTATAAGTGATGTTAGGACATTTTCTTCACAGATAAAGATCCGTTTCAAATTCTTTCACGGATTATATGAAATTGTACGTTGTTACACTCCCCGAATTTCCCAGAGCGAAATTTTTTTACTAGGAAAGTAAAGTGATGACTAAGTCACTCGAATTTGGGTGCCTTTTCAGTCATATACATAGAGCGCATTTTTTTCACTTTGATCGAGAGAATATCTTCGTTCAAAGTCGAAGAGTGAAAATGTTCACTTTGGACGATTCAGAGAATTCACTCTGGGAAATTCACTTAGTAAAAAATCATTCAAATTCGCATGATTCGTTAGTTGCTCTACTCTTCGTGAAAAAATCCACTTTAAGAAAATAAGTTTTCTTATTGGGCCATCGGCTGCGCTCCAAATCGCATCGAGAGAGAAGAATATTGAAATCGTATCGAAATGAAATTACACTCATTTGCAAGTTTTCCTTTTTTTTTTCATGAAGTTGAGACACTGCTTATGAGTTTGCGCGATAATAGATTATGATAAGAACCGAAGTGACACAATATGCGGCATAAATATTGGCCCGTTATTATATGTAATATTAGGAATGTGATTTATAGTTTTGAGGGATTTGCAAGAAATGACACTAATGTCAGTTTTCTCGGAGCATTCCAATCACAGCTATTGTTTCTTAACTCTTTAATATCAATCCATGATATTCATTTACTAACAATAGACGCAGTAAAAATCATGTTAATACCATCTTGAAAATGAAGCCTCCTAAAGTACATTTTCAATATGCGTTGCTTTTGTTTTTTAATCAGAAGAAGACAGACTGAAAGTCATAGAATTCTGAGAGAAACTTATAGTGATGTTGCTCCATAAATCAAGACATATGAATATTGCTTTAAACGATTCAAAAAAAGCGATTTCAATGTTAACGATAAAGATCGCTCGGGACGAGCAAAAAAGCTTGAAAATGCAGATTTGCAAGCATTATTGGACGAAAATCCAGCACAATCTACTTCAGAATTTGCCAGAACATTAAATTATGACCGTGCAACAGTTACTAAACGTTTACATGATATGGCAAAGATTCACAAAGGAGGAAAGTGGACTAAGAGCATTGCTATAAGTTTAGAAGAGAATTCAGAAGCTTAAAAATATACGTAAAGTTTGCAAAAAGATTTTTATATAGCGTACTTAGGTTTTCCGCAAAATTGGTAACTTCGGTTCTTCGAAATTTCGAAATTTCGAGGCGTTATATTCAAATAACGGAATTTCAAAATATAAATATCTAAATGAAATTAAGAAAAACTAAGAGAGTTCTCTTTCTCTCTCTCTCTCTCTCTCTCTCTCTCTCTCTCTCTCTCTCTCTCTCTCTCTCTCTATTTAAAATATTAGAAAAGGGCTTATTAAGGCTTTAGAAGAGCTAAATTAAAAAAAAACTAATTTTGCTATAAATTTATAAGAGAATTCAGAAGCTTAAAAATATACATAAGTTTTGCAAAAAGATTTCTACAAAGCGTGCTTAGGTTTTCTGCAAAAAATAGGGAAACGAAACAGCACATATTTTATGTGAGACTTATATTACAAAATGCGCATAATGGTATGAAAAACACATAATACATTTATATTTGTTTGATACGAAGTTTGAACGATATGTTATCGGCCTTATGACAATTTTAAAATTTTCTACCTGGAAATATATTTTGCGTTTTAAAAAGATATAACTTGATGTGCTAAGGCTGTTATGTCTATCTGCGTATTTTACTGTCGCGAAAACAACGCTTTATTTGGTAAAAATATTAAACGTAACTTTTTCCAAACTTCGATTAATCTAATCGACGTTTAATTGGTAAAATTGTCTATAACGATTTATGACGACTAATTCGTCGTCTGGCAATAATCAAACAATTGATAATTCTGCGTGTAAGAATAGAATAAAACAGCAGCATTGACTAGCAGCAATGTTAAATAATGTTAAAATATTAAATGATGTTGAATAATAGTAGCTGGTTACATAATGAAAAAATTTTACAATTTTTCCAAAATATCGAGCGTTCCGTTGTACAGGCAAATACATTAATATCTATTTGAGTTCAGCAAGAGTATATTCAATTAGATGGATATTAATACATACATGTATGCTATTTTCGGGATAATAATCTTTCCTCAGGATAATTGTATGCTTTGGAAAACTTGTATTTTTGAATATTGCCTCTTGATATTCGGATTTCAGTAATATTCATGTTAATTTCAGTAATGACTGAAAAATTGCTCTACAATTTCCGTATTTTGAGATTTTGATTTTTTGGGAGAATATATATCCACCCACTTCCTGATTTGTTTTAACAATAATCTGTCTTTTATTTTCCATATTGGCAACTCTACTGACTGAATTAATCGTCGATTAGCTTAATCGGAATTTGGAGAAAGTTATCTCAACTCTCGCGCGGAATCAGAATTTTTATTCTAAGCTTGAGTGAAACATTCACTTTTGCGATTCTCCGTGTAACAACATTTTTCACAATCGCATTGACTGGTTTTTTACTCATCTTGCATGAAATTTAACTTCAAAAGAGATATATATAGTCAATGTTGAGCATTAATCCGTTAAAAAAAATCTTGGTTGATTAATCGATAAACTAGTCACTAATCAAAATTAATCAATCGTTATATATGTAGTTATAAACAATGGATTGATTGATGGAATCAATTATTATTCAATGTACAATCGGTCAAATCCAAATAATCGACTAAGACAAACATGTGTGATCGCAATTTGCTTTGTATTAGTTTTGATCGCTTTAATCAACCAAAATTTTTCAATCGATTATTGCCTAATATTGCATATATTAGGAGGTTGAATTAATCCTGATCTTATTTTATCAATTTCTTTATTTTTATTCTAAAGAAATGGTTAAATTTATATCAATAAAATATTTTCCATCGTTAGCTGTGACTTTTTCCCATTTTTCTGGCAACATAGCGATTCCACGAGCGATAGAACGATCTGTTTATCGAAGCAATCCAATCAGACATCCATTTTTGCACATCCTAATTATTGAAGTGTGTATCTGCCAAAGAATATTGCATCGATCGGAATAGATGGTAATGAGATGCTGGGTCTGGAGAATACGCTGAGTGCGACAGGATTTTCCATTCGAGCTCTAACAATGTTTGTTTGTATGAAGCAACATGTGAACGAGCATTATCGTGCAAAAGAATCACTTTTTGTCTATTGTTGAGCTATCGTTGGTCTTTTTTGCATCAATTTATCATTCAATTTGTTCAATTGTTGCTGGCATCGCTCTTCTGTAACTGTTTCATTTGGTTTTAGAAGTTCATAATACACACACCACACCTTCTATATTCCACCAAATACAGAACATTGCTTTGTGAATGTTCCATTTTGGTATCGATGTTGATGGTTGTCCTGGATCAATTCATAATTTTTTTGTTTTGGATTATCAAAATAAATCCACTTTTCATCTCCAGTTACAGTCCGTCATAAAAAACTCTTTTTTTCTGTCTGGCAAGGAAAGACATGGCAATATTCAAACGATTTGCAATGGCACTTTCACTCAATTCATGTGAAAGCCATTTGCCTTCTTTTTTAATATTTCCCATGATGTGTAGGCGTTTAGAAATTGTTGATTTATTGATATTGAATTGTTCAGCCAATTGTTTGAGCGGTGTTTTCATTCAATAATGCTTGCAATTCAGAATCTTCGAATTTTTTCGTTGACCAATACGTTCTTTGTCATTCAAATCGAAATTGCTACTTTTAAATCGTTGAAATCAAAATTTACAGTTGGAATACGATGAAGCTTGATCACCGTAAGTTGTAACAAACATTTTACGAGCTTTCAGTTGCCGATTTTTTTTTCAAATCAAACAAAAAAAGTAATGAATGTCGAAAATACAATTTTGTACGATGCGTATAAACAATGAAACTATCAGTAACAATAGCGCGCAAACTATCATATGTCAGAGAAATGTCAAATCTTTCAGTGCTGCTAGATTTCAACATTCGTATTAACCGTTAACTTGTTACTAAAGCCATCTACTGCTAGGGACCAAAATTAATTCAACCTCCTAAAAATATTATACTTTATCGTATGTGGTAAACACGATACATTTCGTTTTCAGATATCGCTCGAATTAGCTTCTAGGTTAAACTCTATAGACACGTCGGAGGAATTTCTGCAGTTGCTTCAAGGCGTTCCGGAGAACGAAAGGAGTCCCTCGTTAACTAGTAAGTGTAATTTACCGTCGCATGTGTCGCGTATTGAATAATAATTTCCGAGAGAAACCGTTCGAAGAGAAAAATAAGAGAGAACGAGAAACAGCTGGCCTCGCCCGTGTGAATTGCATTTGATCAAACAGATCTATTGTTATACACTGAAGAGAAAAAGATGGTGGGATCAAGAAAAGTGTCGCTCGTGGGCACAAAATTCGTAGAAATTGTATTAGAGAGATCGATGATTAATTGGCAAAATAGCCAACAACGGCTTCCGACTATGTAATTTGTCGCCTGACGGTAAACAGAAAATTAATAATTCTGCGTATGGAAGCAGAATTTAGAGCGATTAATACTTGAAAATTCGTTAGAAATTATACATAGTTGTCGCAATATATGAGTCATCGATTGATTCAATGATTACGAATCAGTCAGCAATTATATCGACGCAATGCATCATTGAGTCAACGCGCGAGATTTGTTACGTGCGATATTTCGTTGAACGAGAATGACCGACGATTTCGCCAGTCCGAGCATTTTTTCGCCGATCGGAAAACAAAGTTATATGACGAAGGCTCATGTCAGTGCGATAGAATATCGCTATTTGATACGAGCACACATTGTGCAATAAAACGTATTGTTATGAGACATTAATACTCCGAACTATATACGCGATATCGCACGATTATGCGCACATTCGATGCAGCTATCGTCGGAAAAACGCTCGTCGGTAAGCACGACGCAAATAAAGCTATCGAGGCTGCGTGAGATAAGATCAATATTTTTTATGTAAGCAGAAACGTTGATTCAATATTGATTATAAAAGTGTGCGTTTATTAAACAGCGTGTCTCGATTGCTTACGCAACAACGTGGTTGTCAACGCGATCCGGAATCAACCCGGAAAAAATAAAGCCGCAAGTCTGCACAAGCCGCTGAATTTTGCACAAGTATTCCGAAAGTGAGAACGAAACGCGTTCGATCGATTAAAGAATATTTTCAGCGCTGAAAACGATGGCAAATTAGAAAAGATTACATACAAATGTGGCGCGCATAAATAAAAATGTAAACAGTATGATGCAAAAAATAGCTTATCCTCAATATAACAGTACAAAGTTGCAAAATCCCGAAATATTGAGATATATCTACACACATATACTGGCACATCTTTTGTAATTTTTTTCATAATAAATTTTTTAAATAACATATGACTTCCATATTACATAAAGTTCTCTCGTTAATAAGTTTCCGATAAACACTGAACAACTTTGGAATTTTACATCACAGACATTCAATGGGACTTTCATTCTCAAATATATAAGATCGTTGAAATCATTGAAGTCAGCTTTATTAGCATAATTAGTTTGTTCTTTGATCTTATCATAAATAAATTCATTTATAAAAGTTGTGACGAAATGTGTACTATTTAATATCTCTTTCCTTCAGATGCCATTACTTTATCAAAATAAAATTGTGATTTAACTCAAGAACAGAATGGCAGATAAATATTTAATCGAAAACTTTATATAATATTTTTATTGCATACTTAACAACATATTTCGGAAATCAAAAGTTATTACGATTACCAGGAGTTTTCGTAATGTGTAACTATTGCAAAGAAAGTAACCAAATAAAAATTTGTTGAATCGTGTCCCCGAAATTATCAAAATTGCCCTCATTCGCATGAATCGATTCAATAATTCCGCTCGAGTCATTGTCTTTCATACCTTTTTACTGTAGATATCCGAGATTTTTTAATCTTCCTGAGAATTTGTTTAGGTAGATTCGGCGAGGGCGAAGAACGATCGAACGCGATGAAGACGCAGCCGGCTAAGTGCATACCCGAACTGCAACCTGTTTCCTTGAAACTGAACAACGAACCTGGAACCATCGTGTATCCGCCCTGCACGCGAATCAAAAGATGCGGCGGCTGTTGCAGCAGCTCTCTGTTGTCTTGCCAACCGACGGCCTCGGAAACGCGAAACTTCGAGGTAATCGATCATAGTTGATTTAGAATCATTATCTTCAAGACAATTGATCACAGTTGATTTAGAGTCATCATGCTTGTACATAATGCCTATTAATGTTGTCGATATGTTCCGGGTATTTCTATACTTGGTATTTCCGTATTTCTATACCTGGAATTGAACAAGAAAATATTCCTATCAAAATAGAATCACATATTTTCCTTCATACGAATCGTTAAGCTTTCTACAGGGTGGTTGATTATAAGTTGCCAACCCGAAATGTGAGGGTAGATTGGGTTAAGATAAACATAAAAGTCCCATACCGTTTTGCAAGATTCGCAATAATTATCGAGTTATTAATGACAGAAATCTGAGGAATGGGAGCGCGCCGACATAGATGATTGGAGAAGCGTTGCAACTACTCAGACCACAGCGTGGCCCACTCGATCCAGCAACTGTTGGCGGCGTGCGGCGACACGTAGGTTCGGCGAGATAAAACAACGAATAGCAACGCATTGTCTTTCCCCTCGCCGCGCACCAGCAACAGTTTCTGGATCGACTGGGCCGCGCTGTGGCCTGAGTAGCTGCAACGCTTCTCCAATCATCTATGTCGGCGCGCTCCCATTCCTCAGATTTCTGTCATTAATAACTCGATAATTATTGCGAATCTTGCAAAACGGTATGGGACTTTTATGTTTATCTTAACCCAATCTGCCTTCACATTTCGGGTTGGCAACTTATAATCAACCACCCTGTATAAAAGAATTGAGGGGAAATCAAGATTGAATCGCAACTAGTTTATCAGTTAAAAGTTAAATTAAAAAGTTAAAAAATTAATAACTTTTGTCATAGTTTAATTAATTTCATTCTTCTAAAGACTTAACTTTAAACTTTAGGTAGTTGTCTCAAAATGTACAAACGTTAACTTTTAACCTTTTTTATACAAATTAAAATAATTCATTGATTTTGAAGTCATCTCGCAGGCCACTTGTAAAATATAAAATGAGAAAATTAAAAAATAATTTGTCTCAATAAAATTTTATCTTTTTCTCTTTTTAATACTATTAGTATTTTTTTCTTGTTTAGAATACTAAACATATACAGAATGCTAAATTTCAAACGTAACAGGTAAAAAATCTCAAAATCTAAATGATATTGATTTTTTTTATATTGTATTGTTTCGAAGGGGACACATTTTGATTAAAACAAAATTTAATTTTGGGTGGAGGCGCTAAGGTAAAAAAAAAGGTCAAACTGTTTTTTAAATGAAACTCTAATTTTTTAACACCTACGTTTGTAGTCCTTGTCATGATGAATTTAATAACCATATACTCAAGGTGATTAGAGGTTAAATAATGGAAAAAAGACTTATTAACTTTATTAATACATCTTAATGAAATCAAAGTTTATCTTGTTTATACTGGCAAAATTCTATCATGATCTTCCTGCGTTAAAGCTTAGTAGAAGTGGATATGAAATGAACGTTGGTGTTGACGATGCAAAAACATTCTTCAGAAAATAAACACATAATAGATAGACTAGACGTACGTACGTGTGGGGATGGGTACTATTTCAACCAAGTCAGTTATTGATATTGAACACGAGTGTGACTAGTGTAATCACTAGAATAAGTTGTGTTTTCACTTTTTTTTCTTTCGTCATTTGCGTTGTGGTGCGTTATACTAATGAGGAATATCGTGACATAGTCTTAATTTATGGTGAATGTCAACAAAATGCTAGAGGAGCTGCTAGAATTTACCGTCAAAGATATCCTAATAGACTTCATTATCCATCTCCTATAGTCTTCATTCGTTTATATCATCGTTTGGAAGAACATGGAACTTTTGCACTTCATCGCAATATGAATCGGTCTCGTCCAGTTTGTAATCAGGACATAACAATAAATGTTTTAGCAGCAATTATTGTAAATCCTCATTACAGTATACGACAATTGTCGTGGGAACTTGGAATATCCCACGTAAATATTTGGAATATCTTACATCATGAGCGCCAACATCCGTTCCACATCAACTTATACCAAGCCTTAACGCAGGATGATCATGGTAGGAGAATGAGATTTTGTCGATGGGCTTTACAATGCTTTGAAGAGGGTGAAACGTTCTTTTCTAGAGTATTATGGAGCGATGAAGCTACGTTTCGTAGCAATGGACATATAAATCGTCATAATTTTCATTATTGGAGCGACCAAAATCCTAGATGGTTAAGACAAATTGATAATCAACATGTATGGTCGTTGAATATGTGGTGTGCCATTATTAGTGTCACAATTATCGGTCCATTTTTCTTCGATGGTATCGTAAGTGGACGAGTTTTTTTGAATTTCTTAGTTGAGAAATTACCTATTCTTCTGGAAGATTTGCCTCTAAACCTTCGGCAAAACATGTGGATGCAACTTGACGGAGTACCTCCTCACTTTAGTTTGGCTGTCAGACAACACATGAATGTTATTTTTCTTAATCGATGGATAGGTCGAGGAGGTCCAGTGCCTTGGCCATCCAGATCACCTGATTTGAACTGTCTAGATTATTATTTTTGGGATAGAATCCGGGAAATTGTTTATGTTAATCCTCCAACTACAAGAGAAAATATGATGCAACGAATATGCGAAGCGAGTCAAATAATTTCGACGAGTGAATTACAAAGAGTGCTTAATGCTTTTCAACGAAGATTACAGGCTTGCATAGATGCAAGGGGACAACATTTCGAACACTTAAATTAATGAAATTCTCCATTTCGAAGAGAAAAACGCTTCTTTTTTCTAAGATATTTTGTTCTTATTGAAAATTTATTAATAAAGTTTATTTCTTCTTTGTTTTATTCAAACATTATTTTTTCTTTCCTGAGTCTTTTCTTCCATTATTTGACTTCTAATCACCTTGAGTATGAGGTTGTTGAATTCGTCATGACAAAGGCTACAAACGTAGGTGTTAAAAAAATTAGAGTTTCATTTAAAAAAAAGTTTGACCTTCTTTTTACCTTGACCTCTTCACTCAAAATTAAATTTTGTTTTAATCAAAATGTGTCCCCTTCAAAGCAATACAATATAAAAAAAGGCGGACTTCAATATCATTTAGTTTTCGAGATTTTTTACCTGTTACGTTTGAAATTTAGCACCCTGTATATATATTTATATTTATATTTATATATACAGGATGTTCGAGATCTTTTGGAAATGAAAAATTGTGAAAATTAATTAAATCAAACTGAGGAGAAAAGTCATATACCATTTTGCAAAAATCGCAATAGTTATTGAAATAAATATGAATATATTGAACTTTGAACTCTGAATCTTAAACTGTCACTAGACACAATAGTCGTTACATAATTCTAGATTAGGTCATTCTGAATAAAAGTCTTTTACCATTTCGTAAATAAATAGGCAAATTTTCAAATTATCAATTAAAAGAGCCTCTAGATGTCTTTTTCAATCATTAATAACTTAATAACTATTGCGATTTTTGCAAAACGGTACTTGACTTTTCTTCGCAGTTTGATCTTTAATTAATTACCTTCACAATTTTTCCTTTCCAAAAGATTTCGGATACCCTGCATATTATATATATTTTTTATAAAATATATTGTTTTATATATATATATATATAAATTTTGGTTTGCATAATTAACTTTTAACTTGAATATGTTAACCTCACTTTTGACTTTGACTATAACATTAATCTTATTTTCAAATAAGTTAGTTTTTGTTTAAGTAACTTTTAACTTAACTAAGTTAATTTCATAGAGATCCTTAACTTTAAAAACTTAATTTAACAAATGTATTAACAATTAACTTAAACTCAACTATGGATAAAATCAAAATGGAGTTTGAATGCTTCGCTAAACATTTCATATTTTATTTTGGCTCATGTTGATACAAAGAAATGAATTATTTTGTGAAATATTTACATTTTGTTAACCTCAATACTTTCATGTGTAAAATAATTCTTTCAAATAAGTTAGTTTTTGTTAAGTAACTTTTAACTTAACTAAATTAATTTCATAAGGATCCTTAACTTTAAGAACTTAATTTAACAAATGTCTTAACAAATGTATTAACATTCTCAATTCTGGATAAAATCAAAATAGGATGTGAATACTTTGTTAAACATTTCATATTTTATTTTGTCTCATCTTGGTACAAAAAAGAATTATTTCGTGAAATATTTACATGTTTGTTAACTTCGATACTTTCACGTGTAAAATGATTTGAATAAATACGGAAAAATGACAATAAACAACTGGATACTCGAATATTTGGATACCCAGTACACACGGTACCGGAATATTACTCGCGTAATATACGTAAAATACAGTCATCCTCAAACACAACTGATATTTACAATAATTTATGTGCATACGCTATTCGAAATAACAATAGTGTGAATATTATATTATGGCATTTTATCCGAGCTTACCTTATTATTCTAGATACCCGAAGTAGACTAATTTATACGATAACTGTGTGTAGATTAATGTGTGTAGATTAATAGTGTACATACATTTGGATTTAGATACGATTAACGACTGTCTACGCAAAGCGATCTACCACTTTTATTAGCATATTTCAAATGAACGTCATAGAAATTTAAGATTTTAAGTAAAAGTCACAAAACGCGCGTACCTGACCAATTAGAGCCGCTCACAAGATACCCTTGCCAAATTATTCAACAGTGCAGTTGTACAATCTTTGCATACAATCTTTCTCGTACAAATTTTCATTAATATGTTTTAATTCGACCACGTCTTCGGTCGAGCCTGAAATCGTATACACCAAGTGCTGTTACGTCTGCAACGGTGTCAAACGACGTCTGCAACGGTGTCAAACGACGTTTGACGGTAGTCATTATGTTCAACAAGCACTGTGCACAACTGATGCGCACACACTTCTCGGTCTCGAAGGATTATGCAAATAAAAACACGCTTATCACACGCATCTTACAGCCAGACAAATTTGCAAGATTACAAAATTGACAACGTTCCCCTTTCGTGTTGTTTGTTGCTTCAAGGTGATCGTGTCGACGATGTCGCTACACTACCGAGGTCGGCAAATCGTGCCTCTGGAGGAGCACACGGCGTGCAAGTGCGACTGCAGAATCAAGGAGGAGGTAATTTGATGGCCGATAATTGACGGGTAATCGGTGCCTTCCTACTTAACCGGATTGCTCCGGTTCACGAACCTCACACCTCACGCATCGTCCCGTCGCATTGCTTCTCACGCGCATGTAGCAACAATGAAGCGATTGACGTCAGCGACGTAACAGCTCTAGTAGCTGAAGAGAGTACGCAACTTCGCCAAGAGAGAACATATTTAGAGATAAAAACGAGAACCTGTACGATTCGATCGATGAGCTCCGTTAATACACTCATGAGTGAGCCTTCTTCAAGCAGACGAATCGATCTGCAGCTGGGACTCCCCTTTTTGTCAGTCACACTTTCAGCGCTTTAAATGAAGTGTTATTCACAAAGACAGCGCAATCCCACGTCTATCTTTTTGAAGACTGCCTACACTGTTTTATAGGTATCACTTACCTAATTCCAAAGTACATCTTTGTCTCGCTCATCTTTTAGCGCTGTTGTTATAACCCAAGTACTCAAATACTCGCGCGCGAATATCAGAGTAAAGGGAGTATCTAAATTCACGGGGTAACCGAGAAATATCCGAAAAACAGGTATAACCCAAGTCGAGAGACTCGAGTACTTGAACATTCATGAATGTACGAAGATGCGTTTATCTGGATATTTGAATAATGTACGAACGATATTGAGAGTTGGATTATACTCAATATCCGAAAAATTAAATAATACCGAAAAGACTCCGGTATCTAAGATGGCAACCGACACACCCAGAGACTCGGAATTAATACCATTATTCTATCCGATCAAAAAGAAAATTATATATAATTATATATATAATTATTATTATTTATATGTATATATATATAATTAAATAAATATAATAGGGTGTCCGGGATATTTTGGAAATAAAAAATTGTATAGGTTAGTCAAGGCAAATTGAGAAAAACAGTCATATATCTTTCCCCCATTTTGCAAAAATCGCAATAGTCATTAAGTTATTAATGATTGAAAATGACCACATCCAGAGGCTCTTTTAATTGATAACTTCAAAATTTATGTACTTATTTGCAAAACAGTAAAGGACTTTCTTGTTCAGAATGACCTAATTTACAATTATATGACGGCTATTGTATCTAGTATATAGATATGTGAGTATATTAAACTTTGAATCCTGGATCTGTTGCACAATAACCATCGTATAATAATTGTAAATTAGGTTATTCTGAACAAAAAAGTCCTTTACTATTTTACAAATTATGCAAATTATCAATTAAAAGAGCCTCTAGATATGATTATTTTCAATCATTAATAACTTAATAACTATTGCGATTTTTGTAAAATAATGCTTGACTTTTCCTCTCACTTTGATCTGATTAATCTTCACAATTTTTCGTTCTCAAAAGATCTCGGACACCTTATATATAATATATTGTTTATTATTATATAATATATATCATGCAATATAAATATAATTATACATATTGTATAATATATATTATATGTATTATATATATATTTCATATATTTATATATAATTAAATATAAATGATTTTTGTCTCTACAGGGTGGTTAATTATAAGTTGCCAACCCGAAATGTGAAGGTAGATTGGGTTAAGATAAACATAAAAGTCCCATACCGTTTTGTGAGATTCGCAATAATTATCGAGTTATTAATGATAGAAATCTGAGGAATGGGAGCGCGCCGACATAGATGATTGGAGAAGCGTTGCAGCTACTCAGGCCACAGCGTGGCCCACTCGACCTAGCAACTGTTGGCGGCATGCGGCGAGACGTAGGGCGAGATAAAACAACGAATAGCAACGCATTGTCTTTCCTCTCGTCGCGCACCGGCAACAGTTTCTGGATCAACTGGGCCGCGCTGCGACCTAAGCAGCTGCGACGCTTCTCCAATTATCTATGTCGGCGCGCTCCCATTCCTCAGATTTCTATCATTAATAACTCGATAATTATTGCGAATCTCGCAAAACGGTATGGGACTTTTATGTTTATCTTAACCCAATCTACCTTCACATTTCGGGTTGGCAACTTATAATCAACCACCCTGTATATGATCATGTACACAATCATATAAAATTTTATAATATATACATATATAATAAATTTAATATATATATTTATATATATATATATATAAACTCCGTTTAACTCCGAAAAAACTCTGTTAAACGAAGAAAGGAGGAATTGTTTTGCTCAATTACATTTTTAGATCACAGACTGCCATAAACATAAACAGTAATTTCAATTGTATTTATGTAATAGCATTTTTTCGATATAAACACATATACGATTACATATGATTAAATAACCACATAAAGACAAAATTCACGTATAAACACACACAATTGTTTCTATTGGGCACATGAGGTAAAATTCACCGACTTCTTCCGATCGTACCGTGCTGTACCCGCCGTGTCGACTTTTTTCTCGTCGATGATTCATGTCGAGGCGCCACTTTTTTGCCGTAGGATTGTAACGAGAAGCAGCATTACGAACGGGCTAACTGCATGTGTGTGTGCGACAATGTCGACGAGGCGGAGAAGTGCAGGCGGAACAACAACATTAAAATCTGGGACCCGGAGGTGTGCGTCTGCTCGTGCAGGAACATCGAAATGTGCAACACCGGCTACTACTTCGACCACAACACGTGCAGGTGTGAGCTGACAGAGTAGGGGATTTCTGCTAAAGGAAAATAAGGCGTCTTCCTTTTCAATACACTCCACTATCTCACCACTTGTAAGCCACACGACACGCGCGTTTTCCTCATCGCACCGATCCGCCTTGTTCGCATCGACCGATCGATTTCCATGGCCGTTTGATCGCTTGGTTCCGCACGAATCTACCCGAAGTCCTGCTTCCTCTTTGTATGCTGGTCACCTGCAATTCAACAAAACACCTTCCCTTGTCAGACGCCTCTCTCACGTTTCTTCTCTTCTTCACTTCGCTTCGGCTTCCTCGGGCTGCCCGCATGTGAGCGAGGATTAAGCCCGAATCTTCTTCATCCTCTCAGCTCCTCGCGCCCTTCGCGAGATGCGATCGAGATCGAGATCGCCATGACCAAACGAAGAGACTCTGCGACCTCGCGAAAACCCATTTTCGCTTCTCTCCTGCTATATTCTCTTCAAAATACACACGCTTTACGTGTGGTATATCCGCCTAATGAATGCGACATAACATCAAAGTTGTTCTTGGCGCAACCTTAACTTTAACCTTCGGATATCGGCTTCATTCTTCGGACTGCACGAACTAGTCGGGGCTACACGCTTTTGCTAAATTCGGCACTTTTTTTCACTCGTTCCAAACGGTCTGCTCTAATTTTAATGTTAAATCGGCACGATGCGATTATGTCAAGCAACATCTCAAAATTATGTTACGTTAATAATTGACATAAAATCAGTAACAATTTCTGGCAATATCTGGAAGCAAATTTTTTTTTTCACGTAAAATTAACGCATCTATTATGTCGTATTAACATGTTTACAATACAACTTGATTAAAATATTGTTTGTACTTTCGTTGAAAATAGCTAATTGTCGCAGACAGAGAATAGGAGAAAATAATATCTAAATCTAATATTTAAAATGCAAAACATACTGATCTAATAGACAGCAGTTATTATGAAAAAAATTGACATGATTTTATGGGTAAATTTTAACATATATAAGATGTGTCATCAATAATATAAGACATATATATACACATTTATTTATTCAGTAAAATTAACAATATATCATAATTAACACGCGTACATTTTGTTCATTTTTCTTCGAACTTTTGTTTCGAAATTACATTATTTTTGCATTAATCGTAGATATGAATATAAAATGTGCTATTTTAATTTGTACAATTGTTAAATCTGATTGTATATAAATTCAACAAAATTTTCATACAAGATCATGACAGTTAGATAATTTTACATATGAATATGCTGCATTTATAACATAAACATTTTAACCGTTTAACAACAAGATACTTTACTATATATAAAATGAACAATCTCTCTCCTCTGGTGTCGCAAAATCTCGAATTGTCGAGAGTTGTTTTGACATTTTCGTCGAGCAAAATTCGATTCTACACTGCTAGCCGTTCGGAAGATCCGTCGTTAAAGTTAAGGTCGCTAATTAGAGGGTTGAGAAGTAATCTTACAAAGCGGCAATGCTCGATGAGAAACTACGATTGAGTACGATATGCCTGTTTGTTGAGTACGATATTCGAGCGAGATAGTTTTATCACACTGTTCTTTTGGCTTTTTCAACATAATTTGGCAACGAATCGCCGTAACGTCCCCATAATTATTCGCACGTAACTGCAAATGTGTTCCAGATGTCGACAGATAATGTTCTCTAGACCGCTAAACAGATTCGAAACTACGAAAGCTTCGAATTACAATTTTGATAACGCCCAACGACCGGAAAATGTACCGCCCGTGATAATCCCATTGGACGCATCGGATCCCAGAAGAAAGCACAAGGAAGATCCGGAATACAAGTGATACGAGAATTCAGACGGACGCTCACGGACTACAAGACTGCTAAGACGCATCTACGCTCCGTTGTTAGTCTCTTTATCATCAGAGTTGGGCAGATATAATTTCGAGTAACGAAATTATAATTAACGAATTCAATATCTCTCTCTCTCTCTCTTTCCCCCTTCCTCTGAAGATTTATCCCAGGCAGAGCAGAAAATCATAATGACATCAAAATGACATCAAAATGGAAACTTTTTTTCATCACGATTCGATCATTTTCTCATAATTTTGATGTCATTTTGATGCCATCATGACTTCAGATCGAAATAACGAACAGATTCGTGTTTTTATTTTACGCACGCGCGCACATTCGTGTCAGGATTTACTTGATTTTATTCCAATGATATCTTGTTCTTTATTCGTTGCAACTTTTAGCCGGGAGTAGGTATGTAGATGTTCGAGAGAATTCAAATAGAATATTATCGACCGTCGATTATCGGCTCTTCGTTCGGGTACTCGTTATTTGAGTGGACATGCCTACATTTCATTTTCGCACTATTTATAAGCCGGAGATTCTTGCGGAGAGAATTCGAATATTTCTTTCAATAAAAACTGATTCGAATAACGTCCAACTTTATCTGTTACATGGAAGAATGTTTTCATTAATCTGACGCCTCGGAACTGGAACAGCTGAATTTTATCTCACTCAGCATGTTGCAAGATAAATTTGTGCTTCCATCTTCGAGCCACGGAGCGAAGCGGACTGTTTTACTTCCAAGGTGTTGTTTTGTTATATTATTGTATACGTTTACTATTTAATAAAGTCCAAAGGGGCGCTTGATGCGTATAAGGAGACAATCAGCTGTGAATATTGGTCAGTACTATTTACGTTATAAAATTATGATTCCCTTGCATTTAGTCATAAGATGACATCAAAACTGACTATTCGTTTTACTTATCGCATACAAACATATTTGTTTGTATCTTGATTATAAATAATATTTCAGTTTATAGCTTTCTCATCCGTACTTTTCATCTGTAATTACTAGCCATTGTTATTTTCACGATAGCAAAGTGTAACTTTCCTAATTATTATGTGCTCACTGCGAATTATTATGCATTCAATACAATTCTATCATCAAACTTTGTAAAGCCGTAATTTATATGACATGGCCCGAGGGAACATGTCATAGGACATTAAACACAATACGCTTTAATAAGATGTGCATGACAATAAAGTTATGAAGTTACATACTTTAGACTATTCTATCATATCCACATGATAATTGTACATATGTCTCAATTGAACTTATTCCTATTAATTATATTTATATATACATCTTAAATGAACTTATCCACACCATTACCATTGTTAACTTTCTCAATATTAAATACAGGTTACAAAGTTTGTGCAAACTGTGAGATGAATGCCTACATTCGAAATCTACTACGTAGCTTACTCCAGGTTTAATTCTTCCCTGTATTTCTCAATATTTCGCAGATGTAGAACAACCATCCTGTTTATTCTCAAGATATTACCGTAACTCTCACTTATAGTTGCGACAGACTGTGCAATATGATCTAAAAAAAGAAAAGGACAAGGTGTTACATTAACTCACTATAAAGATACATCTTTCTCATTGAATAGGTAATGTTCTCAGATTTCCAATAAGAAAAAGCAACAATAAATTGTTAGCTGTGTGCTGGCAATTCGGTAACAAAACGTTGCAACAGATTCAATGTTAAATATATGCCATAAGTTTATTTTTAATATCTTAATTATTTACATATTTTCTAAAGCAAAACTGTTATAATTTATATGTATTATAAGAAAGAAGTATAATCTATCCCATGTAGCACAGACAGTTGCAGCAATATTGCCACAACTTCTGCGCTGTATGAAATTTATTTTAATATATCAAAAGCACTTAAAAGTAATAAAATATTCACAAAACTCATATTTTTATGAGTTTCTACACGCCGTTCGTTATATATAAATATTTTTTTTAATGAAATATTCAACATTTTATCATTGGTTAAGAAATAAAAACTTATAGATTTTAAAATGTTTCGTTTTGAAATTATTAATTATATTAACTATTCACTAATTATACATTCCTAATGTATAAATTTGAGTTTTTATGCATTAATATTAAAGATTACTATCTCTTTAGTTTTGAGTTCCAAATTTCAGTTTCGAAGGTATAATAGCTTTACATTCTTCGCATATTTGCTCAAGATCTAGCGCAGCCAGTATACCGTTCTACCGGCAAAAACTGTGCTAATCTAACCTAACTTGACCTAAATTGACAATAAATTGGCGGTAGAAGTGTCTTATATGTTTACATACAAGGTTACAACCTACTTATAGAAGATGCGATGTCCATGACAACTGATTCCTTCGTGGTCTTGAATCGTTTCATTTGTTGGTCCGTTATATTGTCGAGGTTTTGCACGTTGACATGTCTTACCGTATCCTTATCGATTTGCGACATTTCTCACGTTTTCCGTATAATCGTTTGAAGTTCAATCACAGATACGTTTCATTTAGCACCTGCATTACCTGCAACGCTCAGATCGTTTTCCGAGTATCTATCACACTAATGAAAATTCCACTAATGTGACTACACATTAATATGAAGACACAAGAAAAAATCCGAGTTTGCAGGTGCTAAATGGACGCTGTATTATATTACGCGGTTCATCAAGAACATACTTGTATCGAAATTAGTTCCAATTTCAGTGATGGAAAATGGATAGGTTAGACGCGCATGCGCGATGAGAAATGGGTATTCCAGTAACGTATATATAAATATGTAATACACCTGTAAATGTAACAAAATATTAGTTTGGGTAGGATGCAATTGGCAGATAGACGATAAAATAATAGATTAGGTTCAAGTATAAATAAATATACGTTTATTACATACGCATACGTGCATACATATATATATTTCTAATTTTCTGAAAACTTATTTATATAATAGAATTCCCACTATGTACAGAAAATAGAACAATGGCACTTCATTTTGTTCGTCCTGCTCTATATTACTTTAAACCTAAAATTAAGATAAGAAGAAGCTTTGAGTGCAGTTGGGGGTTCTCCTTGTTTACGCGCGAAAATTGAAATTTCTGATTTTCGTGTACGGACAATGAGGAAAAAAGCAGTAGAATCAAAAAGATTTCGTTTAGATGAACAATATTTATTTGAGCGAGTATTTTATCGATTGGTTATTGTGTTGTAGTATCGTGCAATTATAATATATTTATTTAAGCGAGAAGAAGAGAGAAAAAGAGAGAATAACCGCTTATTTTGTTTAGCTGATTTTTCCGATGTAATTTAAAATTTATAAGAAAAGTTTTCTAATTTAATGCTAATATTCGTTAAAATTATATGTTATAACAAAATTATTACATATTTGTCAAGATGATAACGAAACACTCCAATATCATTATCATTAAAATTCGATATACTTTAACTCATGCCATTTCTTCTTCTTTTTTTATTTCATAGTTGTAATTAAAGATAATTAAAAAGGTAATAATTAGAAAATGATACAAAACACGTGCAAACTTTATAATAAATACATTTACGTGAGCAAGTATCGTACAATTGTTCTTTATTTATTTTTATTTGAAAAAAATCGTTACAATCGCATGATATACAAATATATACAATTTTTATTAACACATTAAATGCTTCATGATACAAACTAAATGATAAGATACATCAGAATTTGCGATCTCACTTTTAACTTCTTGCTTAACTTAAGACTTATCATTGATGTTATATGTAATAATTTTGCAGCATAAAATTATTTATTAAATGGCACTATACGATTGTTACTAAAAGATATCATGAGTTTTATGAAACAATTGCCAATTTATTGTCGGACAGAGAAAGAGATAGACTTAAATTAGAAGATTGTGAAAATTTGAAATACGTAATATTTCGCTATATTATTTAAAAATTCGCAATGTATTGAGTACCAACGGCCAACAATCGATAATGTAATTATAAAGATGTGATATTCCGCGACGTTTTTAAACATCTTGTTTATTTATTTCTATTAAAGCTCCTGGTTGTTTGCTGCGGTAATGTTCGATGACGTCAAAAGTATATAGATTCAATAGTGATAATAAAAAGAAAAGGTATGTATATGATAACGTATAAATTATAGTAGAATATTTTAGTTTCTATTTTTAGATTTTCTTTATTTTTTTTATTTTTCTTTTGGTTCTTTTGGTTCTTTTTAGTTGATATTTTTCTTCTGAATATAAATATTATTGGATACAAAAACACGTAAATAATATTTAAAACGTACTTTAAGTTCTTGTTTGCGTGCGCTTTCAAAATTACAAAACTTCCGTTTAAAACGAAAACTTTTAGTTTAGTTTTTAATATGCTGATTTTTGGTTTTGGTATAACAGCTTTGAAGTATGCCGGTGATATTCTTACGTGAAAGATTATTATTTTCTCTCATAAAACTAATACAAATTTATCGGAAGTCACACATCAATTTATCAGGCAATAATCGCGAATAATCAAACTAGAAACACGCATCTATTCGGTCGACGCAACTGACTCGGCACAATCTTCATCCGTTCCTATCTTTTCGTATACGATTTTGTGAATTTCATAATTACCGTTGTACGACAGCTTTTTCATCAAGTTTTCTCTGTATGCATTATCTTTGTATTCGAGGATCAATTTATTCCCGACATAATGTACGGTAGGCAAACACGCCTCTGGATTTTTCCGCGCCATTGTGGCCTCGAAATCTTTCAGAAAATCGTCACGGTCCTTCGCGTAGTTCAAGGACTTCAGGTAACCGCCGAAATTGTCCACGTCCGGTATTAATTCGTTACTAATCCCGATGATCTCTTCTAAGGTTGGCTGTTTGCTTTGTCTCTCCATGCTGGTATTGGATCTTTGATGTTGCTCGGTCAAAGGAACATGTCCGAGCGTATGAGATGTATGAACTTTCGGATGTTTAGAACGCGAATATGCAATTTGTAGTTTACACTTTTGTACCCAGTAGTTACTTTTCAACGATGTCCAATGGTACGACCACGGATCTATGATTTAATGACAAGTGTCGAATCGCGATAGTTATTGATAAACGTTACAGTTCTCTAAAGCTAGCTTTGTTTTTTTTTTCATAGCTGAACTGGTTCCTTTTTCTCTTCAACGCGAATTTATATACTTATTTCACTTTAACAGCAAAAAGCGCAACCTAGCTTAACTAAAAAGAACAGACCCTGATGCTCCAATAGATTCCAAGACCGGTATTCTGAACTCTCTTTTATCGATAAAAGTGCCCCTAAGTGATTTATGACCAATTAGAAAGATCGCAAGCCACTTTTAGAGCCACCGATAAAAAAGAATTCAAGGTACCAATCTAAGGCGTCAATAACTAGGAATCGAAGAAATAGATATTGATTCTTCCTTTCCCAGAAAATCTCAATGTTTCTATAATTATTGCTTTCTGTCAGATTGATTATCGATGAGACATCGACATTTAAATAAGAACCATTTAAGCCGATATACATACAAAAGAGAAAATAATAAATTCAAGCGGGAGAAATTAATTAATCTTAATAGTCAATTTGCTCACGTTTTTATACAATAGCTATTATCGACCTTAACCTTTTGTGTAGCACATTTTTTCAGCCTGACAGATTTCTGTGAAATTTTATATTTGTATGTTTTTTGGATCACTGATCTGAAGTCAGATTTCAAAAATTCAAAATGACAGATCCAATGGCTGTTATATAGGGCTGCCATAAATTAATGTAAATCTGAATAAATGTAAATTAGATACACGATATAAAGATGTTTTATAGATCGTTAATTACGAATTTCATGTCAGATTCACAAAATTCATTCAAGTAATTTGCTTATAAAAAAATGTAACATGCAAAAAATTCTGGTAAAATATATTATATTATATTAATTGTGCAAATTAATTCGGTGCCTTTACATTTAATCTTATAACTCTGATCCAAATTAAAATTTTTTCCCATCCTATGATGATTTGAAAGTGCTAACCTTAAGTTTTATGAAGCATTGTGTTTAATAGTTCACGACCCTGTCGACATAACGTGTGTGAAGTTGGCCCCGCATTTTTAGAATTTTGTATTTTTTCGAATTGTGCTACATTATGCTACGTTTGTGTCATATTATGCCGCAATCCGCAACTCTGTAACTCAAAACATACTCAAGAAAATTAAGAAAAATTAAATTTTTGGCAGCCCCGCACTTTTTGAATTTTGAGTTTTTTTATTGTGCCGTATTGTGCTATGTTTGTGTTAATTTGTGTCGCAAACGCGAGACCGATAACTTCAATAATATTTGAGAACAAAAATAAAAACGAAAATTTGTCAGCCCCCCCACTTTTATCCGAATGAATCCAATTTTTGTTTGTGAATTCCTATTAATTTGTGCCGCGTTGTGCCGTTTGAAGAAACAGGATATCTCCTTTCGTTCAGTAGAAAAAAAATGTTAAAGTTAAAATATAAATTAATGAATAATTTTTTCTACAATGCATTTATCGCAAGTCTATAAGTTGTGCTGAATTGTGCTAATCGAGTACAATAAGAACCACTTAGAGATGTATCGAAAACTATTCAGATTGCAAAAAAAATTTGCAAAAATTAGTGACGCAAAATAAATTTTTCACATTTTTGAAATTTCGAAAGTTGTGCCGGATTGTGCTAGTCAAACCCAACAACTTTTTTCTAATTGCAAAATGTTCTCAGATGGCTGATTTTCGGAGTACGAACATTCAAGAAAGTAATTTTTAGGAATAATTTTAGGAATAATTTTCATATCATTATAGCTTTTGAACCGTGGTAGATGTTCGAATTCTGTGAGTTGTGCTAAATTGTGTTAGCCGAATACAACAAGAAACAACTAAGACATGTTCTGAAAATTACACAGTTTACAAAAAGCTGTTTTTTGGCTGTACTATGATGGACTACGATGGTCTGACGTAATTTTGCCATTAGGAAAAGTTATTGGGCTTGACTAGTACAACCCAGCACAATTTTCAAAATGTCGAAAATGTAAAAAAAAAATTTTTTGGCTTACTACTTTTTGCCAATTTTTTTGCAAGCTGTGCTTTTTGTAAATAAATTTTGAATTTTATGAAAAAGGTACTGAATTAATTTACACACCTAATATTTCGACATGTGAAGAATGTTCGGTAAAATTTTCAGCCTCTAATCTTAAATATTTTCCAAGAAAGAATTAAATCTTTTTTAATCACTTTCTTCTGCTTCATTTGCTTGTAAATAATTAAAAATTAACGATCAGATATAAAAATCATGAGAAGCATGTAAAGTAAATATTAATATATCAGAAATGAGATTATACTTATTTTCATTAAACTGTAAACAATATATTGTAAAAATAAAGAGAAAAAAGGTGATAAATATATTTATCACTGCTACACAAAGAGTTGAACGAATGGCATGTCAAAAACGTGAACGATTATAAATAATTAAGCAATAAACAAATTGACCAACCGCATTCCGGATAATTATTGAGGACGTAAGCTATTATGTTGAAAGTTTCGAATATGATTGATCGTTTTGCTGTTTACGTCTTTCTGTATGTAACATCGATCTTACCTTCTTGCACGATTCTTCTTGTAAATTTAACTTGTCCGTTCGCCGCCATGTACTTAATCGTGCCTGCTTGCGCACGAACAGTCCGGTCTCCTTGACCGCACTCTCTCTTGATAGGTTTGACGGTTGATGCCATTTCCTCTTCCAATTTTGACTCATTAATGTTCTCTTGGTTGCCGGGCGACGTGATTTCGGACTCGAAAAGATTATCTGGCGGATCGTTTTCTTTATTCACCTCGCGATCATGCGCCTCATTGTCCGCATTGTTTTTCTTTCGCATCGTATGATAGATAATTTCGGCTTCATCGAGGTGTTTTACTGCGTTCTTGTATAGTCTCCGCATTCGAATAGCCTTCCACTTACTTGTGTCGCTTTCGAGCTTTGTCTCTGTATTATCAGCAATCTGATTCGGCGCGATTTTCCGTTTGCTAGAAAACGCATGCGTTTTTATAAAAAATATAAAGTATTAGAATATTTTATATTTATAAAATATTAATAAAAATATATTAATGTATAAAAATGTAATTTTTAAAAAGGTATAAAAATATATTAATTAAAAAAAATCTATTAATTAAAATACATAGAAAATAAGACACAAAAATATGTATCAATAAGAAATGTAAAATGGTTATACATAAAATATAAAATATATACATTAAACTTCTAATAAAAATGGATATCGTCAAATATATTTTTTTTATTAGCACATCGTGACATCATTTTGTCGCTCATTTTCTTACCGATTGCACTTTTTCTTATTGTAAACGATACCCGAAATTGATTTAATGTCGGTGAATACATGCAAGCTGCTTGTTTTATCGGACGTGATAAAAGCCGTTACGTTTTCTTTCCCTTTGATCTTCCTTCCGAACCAGTCAAGCACCACGTTCTTCGCAAGGTGACTCTCTAGGCCAGGGAAAATACCATCGGCCAAGGAGAAATAATATTCCGCGAGTGAGATCGCTTGGGCACGCTCGTCGACCATTTTTGCTTAGAAAAAGTGGGAAATATTTTAAATACACAACATTGACCCAATATTTCTAATCATTTTGCTCATTTTCCATAAACTACGTTTTATTGATGTAAAGACATGCAATCATTACCTTGTAATTGGAAGAGTAAATATTTTATTCCATTTTTATTATTTTACTCGCATTTACGCAATACAAGATGTTCACATAAAACAAATACATGAGAAAATTACCAAATCTTATCAACTTATCGTATTCGTAAAAGTTAGGTGATTTCGTTTTAATTTGAAATACTTTGTCCCGTTTCTTCACAAGTAACTGGTGAACAAGGTTACATAATTAATTTTGTCACTGAGAAATCTTCGAGTGATCTCATCACCGCGTAACCTACAGAATAATCCAACAGAATATAAATTATGTGTTTATATATCATTCTTGTTTACGTGCAGACACTGAAACATTCTATCTATAAACATTAAAGTTTTCTCCTCGGCACTATCTATATAATTTCCTTACATATTCTATACATGTATACATATTCTATACATATCACAGTATATTATTATATCACAGACTTCAGATATCACGTACTTCTTCATTTACTATGTAAATGTCATTTTTATACATCAGTACTGTGTATACAGTAGAACTAAAAAAAAAATCTATAATCAGTTGCAATCAATTGATCAAGTGTCATTGTTTACATATTTCCCTACTTGTGGGACAGTTCTTATCATCACTACAAATAAATTCTTTCTTCTTTAAATGACTGATCACTGTTTGTAAATTGATCATTTGTTTTCTTTACACAGCTATTTGATTATTTGTAGGATTTTATTTTAACTTTTGTTTTTAATAAATAACTATGAAATATGCCAACTCTTACATAAAGTAAAATCTTCTCGACATAAATCTCTAATATATTTTAGAATGCATTTTTTCTTTGAGAATTATCTGTTTCTTTAGAACTGAAAGAAGTTTTATTCAATCATTAATAGTCAGCCTATTTGAAGAAAAGGATTTTTTTAGGAATCCAGACCAAAATCGTCTTCCTCCTGGGGGAATTTCTTCCTTGAAACAAGTGTTTACACATCTAGTAAAGTCCAGTACCATCCCTCAGAAATCTTTTTCCATGTGGAGATCTGGATTCCATCAGAGCTCAAGGCGGAGTATCCGTTACTTTCAGCGATGGCCATTTTAACCTCGGAGGATTGCTTGTCCCAAGCACTATCACATGCTTTGATACTGTTTCCCTAAGGATATATATATGATCTCGGTAATGTAAGAGAAATCCTAAAAATGAGTAAAGAACATCCTCGTGTAAGTTCTTAATAATATCTATTGATCGTTCTCGTAGATAGCGAATTACAACAATATAGGAAAGATCTGTTTCCAATCTTTAATAAATCCAGTCATACCTTGGCATAACAGATTGCTTGCTTGAATTCCTTCTTGGTCACTTTATAGAAGACCTTCAGATTATTATTACTCATTTAATATGCTTCTTTACTCTGGTCCAGACCCGACAGACATGGATATCTTCTGTCCTCGATGTGACAATTTCAGCGCTCCACTAACAGACGTGCTCGCTACAAGTATTACAAATGATTCTAGGGATAGCACCATCACATGTGTCAGTCATTATGCACAAAACTCAGGTCCCAAATTTCTTGGCTGGTGTCACATCTGAGAGTTGGGTCAAGTGGCTTCAATTCAATGATTCAACTAGGATATTTTAGATAGCCATTTAGGATATCTAAGTTTCCTGGATCCTAGACTTCGAGTGCCTAGAATAAAGTGCAAAATTATGTAAAAACTATTATTTCATTATATTCAGATTTGATTTTTAAAATGCATTTCTAGTAAGTTGTGAAGTATAAAGGTACAATCTTAATAAAACATGTAAAGCTACTAACATTAGAATAAAATATCAAAAGCAAATGAAACATTAGATGAAACTTATGATGTTAAATTTATATTTATTTTACAGATGTCTGTATTACAGTAGATCGCTAACTTGGAGCTTTGACATATAGAAAAGTTGAGGCCAGTTGGATTTCCAATCTCAACCATGATATCTCACAACAAAATGTTGTTCCTATTTTTTTAAACTAATATATTTGAATAAATAATAAATCTGTTATCATACCATAGATATTTCAATTTTTCTAAAAAATCTATTTTCTTTCCTCTTTTCATTAACTTCTGCTTTGATGATTTAATCATTCTCAATATCGGCTTTTCCTCTGGTTTCATTTCCTGCTTCTTTAATCTTAAAAGTGAACTGTTCATGATTTTTCTTAGCTTTGTATGTTCATCCTAATGGTATTAACAGTGGCACTTTTATTGATAGATTCTTTATTTGCCAATAGCTGAATCAGAAAATGAATTATTTTCTTCCGGTTTCACTATACTTCTCCATACAATTGTAGACATAATTACAGAAAAAATAGAAGTAAAAGTAGTACCAAACTTAGTTGAAGAAATAATGCACGGCTCAATTACAGGAATATTGACATTTATACAAATAGGAACAGGAGGAATGACCCAAGCAGAAGCCTTAAAAAATATTGAAAGCACAGCAAGATTTTTTAAATATAAACCACTTGCATTAGGTCTTTTCATAAGATCTGTTGCTATAAAGTGAGCATTACAAATTAAATGATTTTTTGTTGGTTTAAAATTTTCGACGATGCTATTGATCCACATTTTTAAAATGTTCGGTCGATTCAAAGGAAATCTGAAATATTCACAATTTTTAATTGAAACATAACCTTCAAATATTAAATATTAAACCTCCAAAACTCGAATATTTATTACAAATAAATGTATCCAATTTACCTAAATAAATGAAAACCACCTTTTGTAGTATTTTTGCATTTTGGAATGTAACAACTGCTCGGCATCTTAAAATGTTGATAATATATGTAATGTTATTTTTAAAATTATAAATATCATCATGCCAGTTCACATAGGCACTGGCTGCGTTCAGCAGAACAAAGTGATCAGTGAACGCTTAGTGATTCTCGCTCCTGATTGGTAAATACTTCTGGGTCTATGAAGAATCTAAAACAATGCTCCAATCACAGACAATAATCACTAAGCGCTCACTGATCATTTTGTTCTACTGAACGTAGCCATTGGTTGCGTACAGTAGAAACGCTGCTTTACACAGCTGTAAAATTTATGAATCTAATTAGCGTATGTTTTTAAATTTGACTGGTTCCAAGAGCATATACCAGTCAAATTTACGAATTTTACAATGTAATGGCGGATTCACACCTTGGCAGAAAAGTAGAAAGCAAAAAGGCAGCATCCAGTCAGAAGTCGCGATAATAGTCTGTCTTTTTCTTGCAAGAGTGTTTCTCTCTGTCACTCTCTTGGCTTCTGCTGTTCTGCTCTTTTGCTAAGATGTGAATCCGCCCTAAAGCAGCTTAAAGCTCTGATGACGTAGCCATTAAAGTCATTACACACACTTTCTGTAAGACATAATAATAAGATTTTAACCAATTGTGTTACTTGTTTAAAAAAATTACGGTTATGGATGGCAGGGTTAAGCAATGCAATTGGTCAAAACCTTACTATTCATCTTACAGTAAGAGTGCGCTCCAGTCACCGCTACAAGTGCCTCGAAGCGTTTCTACTTCTCTCTCTTCCTTCATTCGAATCCGAGAGATAGAACAAGAAAGAAACGCTTCGAAACACTTGTAGCAGTCACTGGACTGCACCTTTAGTGTGTGATAGCCTTTATACAGGCATTACCACCATTTTGTTGTAAGATGTTATTGCTAAAATCGCTTGGACACAGCTTTTTCGACGAAGTTATAGCAATTTAATATTGGATAGACATCTGTAAATATCCCAAGCAGAACAAAAAATCATGATGAAAAATCATGACATCAAAATGACAAGACAATGACCGAATCATGTGGTCTGTTCTTTTTAGCTGCACTGCAGAACTAGTGCAATAAGTTAGAATGAGACAATTATATTTTTTCTCACTTTAACTTATTGCACCAGTTCAGTAGTGCAGCTAAAAAGAACAGACCAATGATAAGAAAAAGAGTTTTCCTCATCATTTTGACATCATTTTGATGTCATCATGATTTTCTGTTCTGTCTGGGATAGTACAGATATCTGTGAAAACTAGTTTTATATCTGTTTTTACTAATCTTAGTTAACTAAGGCCGGTATTCATAGTCAGGTCTTATATTTAAGACCGCCTTAAGTTCATCTTCAGATACTTTGTAGCCAATGAAATAATTTGTACAGCATCTGAAGATGAATTTGAGACGGTCTTAAATATAAGATCCGAAATTTTTATCCGCTACGTGAATATAAGATCCGTTTTATTTCTTATTTCCAACTGATACATCTTAATATTACGTATTTTTATAAGAATTATTAGCACTTTGTCCATTTTTATATAAATTCTTCTTGTGAAAAATAAAAATATAAACAACGATATTTCATTTTAATGTTTTAATTAGTAATTGGATACCAGGATGGTATCAAATCCAAATAAATATTGTAATCTTAAATCGATATTCTGAATTTTCTTTTGCATAAAAGTTGTAAAAATAGCTTACAAACCTTCTAATTGGATATAAATCAAATGGCTCGTTTCAAAGCCATCGACAAAAGAGAGTTTAGAATTCTCTCGCGTTTGTCCATTTTAATTAATAACAAATACGATTGGTCAATTCTGTTGGAACAACCAGCCGTTTAAATTTATTAAGATTAAGATATTTTCTTACTCTATACTCTTAATCTATATTTATATTTCAATAAATAACATGTCCCGTGTAATGAATTTAACTGGATAAATCAGTGCGCTGATGCGAATTTCATTAGCTGGGGAATATATAATTTTTTAATTCAATTAATATGTACTTTAAAATCTATTTAAGATCTAAAAATATAAATTAATCAAACTCAAGAATTCACGGAATGGTGTAATACTGAGTACGTATAGAATATTTTATAATGAATTCGATTCAATACACTAGTGAACTTGACTGAATGCGCAACAGTACGTACTAAAGCCGATATCATAGTCCATTCTTAAATTTAAGATCATTTTAAGTTCATTTTTAGGGCGGATTCACATTTTGGCAGAAAAATAGAAAGCAGAACAACAGAAGTCAAGAGTGAGGGAGGATTTACACCTAGGCAAAAAAGCAGAAAGCAGAAAGGCAGCAGCCAATCAGAAGTCGCGCTGGTAGTCTGTCCTTCTCTTCTCTCTCTCTCTCTCTCTCTCTCTCTCTCTCTCTCTCTCTCTCTCTCTCTCTCAAGAGACCAGCGCAACTTCTGATTGGATGCTGCTTTTCTGCTTTTCTACCTAGGTGTGAATCCTCCCTCACAAAGAGAAAAACTCCCGCAAGAGAGAGACAGACTATCAACGTGGCTTCTGACTGGATGCTACTTTTCTGCTTTCTGCTTTTCTATCAAGGTGTGAATCCGTCCTAAAGATGAACTTAAGATGATCTTAAATTTAAGAATACGCATTCAGTCAAGTTCACTAGTGTATTTAATCGAACTCGTTAGAAGATATTTTATACGTACTCGATATTACACCATTCCGTGAATTCTTGGGTTTGATTAATTTATATTTTTAGATCTTGAATAGATCTTAAAGTACATACTAATTGAATTAAAAATTTTAATAAAAATGATATTTATAATATGAGCCTACATTTAAGACTATCCTAAGTTTACCCGAAAATGCTGTAAGAACTATTTTATTTGCTGCAGAATATTTTAAGATATAAGCTTCAGACGATTTAAAAATTAAGATCTGTAAATGTCATTCTAAGAATTCACCAAGTGGTTATAAAATTGAATATACTTTTTATAACTGCTATCAAATTACCGATTAAAATGCTGAATACTATCTCAGATTAAATATTGATAATTAAAATCGTAGATTGAAAATTAAAACTCGAATAGTCGGAAAAAAGTGAACCAACAGTGAATATACTTGACTCCAACCTTTAATCCCTTTCCTTCCATTCCATTTTTATTTCCATTTTATTTCCATTCCTTTAACCTGCAATCCGTAATTCTCAATATCCAATATCTAGTTTGAAACGGGTTTAAAGCGTCTTGAATAATCTGCTCGAATATGGATCGATGTAATTTTAATGTTTTAAGATTTTGACATGTCAAAATCCTCGAAAATCTTCAAATTTTCTCGGTGAGACGCAAAACTCACAATGAGGCACTCGGTACTCGAAACAACTGTGCGTCGTGTCCTACGTCCGCTCCCTTGCGCCGAGGCGGCGTCTTCAAAGTGATCGAGTGAAACGAGAGGAGTAAGATGAACAAGGAGCGCAAGATGAAACGAGGTGCACAATGTCGACTGTCGCCGCAAATATTCATCTCTTTCGCCTCGGTGAGTCGTCGTGGAATGAAACGCCGACGCACACACGACATGGTATTATATTTTTCATTTTACTCGGACAGAGTCCCAAAAAACCTTAGGTCTTGTTGGACTCTCTGGAGTTTGTTTATTGAAACATCTGTATATTTATATCAAATAAATATAGACTAACAATGACATTGCATCAATGTTATAATTTATTCAGCGATGTAATATTCAGCGTTGCATACGACGAATGCACTTATGATGCACTTATATTGCTGGATGGGAAGTCGCAACATTGATATAATGTTACTTTATTTTATGTTTACTAGGTATATGCACATATCGACATTTTCCATTTCTAGAAAACGGGAAACAACATTTTCTCGATGCTAAAATGTAACGGGACATCAATTTTTCATTACGGGCTCATGAGATAAATGTGCAATGTTAATATCGCGTAGCAACATCGTCGTCTCAACGGCGCTCTCGTTGCTTTCACAGACCGAGTGACGCTTAAAATTCAAAAGCGATCGGCCGGTCACTGCCGGCAAAAACTCGTGCCTCGTCTGCGTATTTTACGCCACTTTCTTGCGTGTACGCACGCGTGTAGGTATCTTTCTCTCTCTCCTCCCTCCTTCCTCCCCTACTCCCCCACCCTACTTCTCTACTCTCTTCACTTACCCTTTCCCACTCTCTCTATCGCGTTGCCGCGGCCGCTCCTCAAGGACTGCTGCTGCTGCTGCTGCTGCTGCTCGGATAACCCACGAGAAAGCGAGCGAGAGAGAAGGAAAGTGGTGCTGGGGAGAAGAGAGCGCAACGATCGTAACACGGTAGCCGGCACACGGTGGTGGGTTTAAATCATATTAAAGCACGTCCAGGCATCTCGCGGCCCGTAAGCCCGGATAACGGACGCGGCTTCTTCTACACACGAAATTCCACTTGGAAAGTAACACGATCGCCTCTTACCTCAGCAACATCCGATGCAGGACGATCTGAAGTGCCCATTGCACCTTAGAGGGTTAGCACCATGGGTCCTGCTGCGTCTCGCGAGGTGCCGATTGAAAAATAAATAAATAAATAAAGAAAAAAAAGGAGAATCACGTGTCGCGCGCGTCACGTTCTTCTCTCGCGAGTAACTGTCGGAGTCGCGGCAGAAAGCTCGGATCCACGAAAAAGCTCGCTCAAAAAGGGTGGAACGGTCTTAATCGACCGAGAACATCGTAATCGCTTGTGACGGACGCCAAGCGATCCATCTGATCGAGATAAAAAGAGGTATCGCTCCGACGAAAATAGACTCTGGCTTTCTTTTTGTTCGATCGGACACGTCAATTAAAGGCGGCAAAATGGATCCTTTGTATCGGAAGTACCGTGACCGACGACTATTCTTCTTGAGCGAGTTTCTTCCAGTCGCTAGACGGATATCCGAGTTCGGAGACGGGGGATCCCGCGAAAACGCAAGGGATGCGTTCATCTGCGACTTCGCTCGACGTCCGTTAAAAGTTTCGCCGAAGGATTATTGCGTGGATCATGGATTGATGAGATAAGACACTTGGTAGATATACTGGGGGAACGAGAAACTCATATCCGATCACACCTCATCTTACTCATATACTTACACGC